TATATATATATATATATATATATTTCTTTATTTCTACAGGGAGCGACACAGACAGTGACACAGAGGACACCAAAGACGTGAGTCTTCCATTATACACACAAACACACGGAGAAGAGAGTGATGAATGAATCATTAACCGCTCTGATCTTCAGATAAACAGTTGTCTACCTGCTACAACCTTACTGCTGAAACAGGGTGTGTGTGTGAGTGAGTGAGTGAGTGTGTGAGTGAGAGTGTGCATGTGTTCCTTCCTGTAATGTTGCGAGAGACTTAGAAAAGGGAGGGCCTTGTCAGGAACTGTGTCTGTCAAACATTAACAGTTTGATCTGAGGTTGTCCTTTGCAGTACATTGTACCCACGGTGAACATACACACACACACACACACACACACTACCGTTATCAGTGGTAAGAGTACAGGGGTCTTATCTATGTTGTAATGTAGAAACATTTACTTACTATATGCTCTTAATAATAGCAGTCAATACGAAATGCAGTGATTGGCTCTTGGATGCAGTAACATTGAAACTTTTGACATGTAATGCATTTCATAACAACAGCCTGTGAACATGCATGTACTGTAACATTGTTCCTGGATCACAGCGGTGCTGATTCAGCTCCATGCTGTTGGTTGCGGTGGTGCTTTACCACAGCATGCGTCATATATTAGCCTTTGTGGCTCTTTAATTTGTGCTTACGTACATTTCCTCCTTCTCCCTTTGTCATCGTTTGAACAGGGTGTCAGCACAGTCTGGAGGCAGGACTACAACACGTCAGTTCTCAGGGTTCCCACATGTTCTCTCCCCGGCATGGACAGCTTCGTCAGCGCCAGCAAGCCCAACTTCAGGGTCACCAGCACGCGGGACCCGACCCCGCTCATCAGCTACCACACCGACGGCTGGACGCCGGACTACGGCCAGAACTCTCTCGCGTCGGCCAGCCACGAGATGCGCGCAAGCGTCATCATGAAGACCTCGGACGTGACTCCCTCCTGACCTCTGACCCCCGGGCGAGGGAGTGTCACTGCTGCTTCCAGGGCATAGGAACGACAGAGAGGCTTTGTTTTCTCCACCGGGGGGGCCACGTGCGGCCTGAACATGCCGACTGACAGAAACCTTTGACATTTTTGTAGCCTCCGTCTGGGCGACGGGTTCTCTCAGATTTCAGACTGACTGGTTGACCACTTTATTATCCTGCACCCGTCTGAGTGCGTGGCGTAAATGTCATCTGTCACCGTGTGCGAGGGTAGAATCAATTATGCAGACATGTGGAAATCATAGTCGCACCGTCGTCCCCGTCCACATCCGTTCTGGACTATGTGTATATAGATATATCTATATATCTGGCCTTTTTAGAAACCATAATCAGTCACGTGTCACTGGTGGAGTGTGTCCTCTGCTGCTTTGTGCTAACACTTCAACATGCTTTATGCCCAATGAAAGACTTTTGACACTTTTATGAAATGAAAGATGGCTTTTAGTTGTTCTTTGAGTTAGTGTTGCCTTACTGTAGGTTTCAAACTACATCCTCACGCCCATCCGCTGGGTTGGGATCTTTAGACCGAATACAGTCTCCAATCAAACTCATTGTTCATCATTGTTCATCATAGGAAGGTTTTTTGTATTTACTTTACTTTCTTTTTTTTTTTTTGCAAATCTCACCTCCTAAAATTGCCAGATTCAGCCACAACGTCATCTACATGTACTCACCATGAAGTATTAGAACAGATCGCCGGCCAACCCAGAGTAGTGTCAGCGCGACACGTGGCACTACACGCTCTACTGGCGCACGCCGACGGAACAAACAAAGCAACCAATGCTGTCGGCAGACCAGCAGCGAGTTGCAAGAAGAATCAAAGGCACGCTGTTGTTTTCTAGATAAAGATTGACAATCACCCTGGAGCCCTCGACGGCCCCTGCAGGGGAAAGCAGCCGTCTGTCTGTCTGGAGAACCTCAGGACAACGTAACCCACCAACACACAGACGGACGGAGAGAACGACAGACTCACTGATGAGACGGACGGACAGACTGTGAACAATGCATCCTTGTGTTCTCCTCTCCCCGGCCTCCTGCCGTTAATAATGTACATAGCTCATATGTATGTAAGCCTGCAAGCCGCTTCAGCACCTTACTGTGTGTGTGTGTGTGTGTGTGTGTGTGTGTGTGTGTGTGTGTGTGTTGGCACGCTCCACTGAGCAGACAGCATACACAGCAGTTTGTCTGTGTGCCATGGGGACAGACCAAATCAAAAACAGAGGCTGGGTGCCTGGTTTGGTGATGGAATTTTGGTGTGTTTTGGTGTGTGTGTGTGTGTGTGTGTGAGAGAGAGAGAGAGAGAAAAGTTCCTATTGAAGATGTGTGCCTTTGACAGAGTGTGGCTACCTGTGCTTTAGTCTGCTACATGCAGGAAGTTGTCAGGAATTTCGTCTGTGGCTCGAGGCAGCAGCGCTTTATTTGGGAGCGAGGAGGAGTCTTTGTGCACGAGTGTCGACCTGGCTGATTGGGTTTCATCGTGACAAACATCCTCATATATGTTAGAGTGTTGGGTTTAGAGGAAGGAGACTGAATCTCAGGGTTTCAGACGTCCACCGTAACTTGAGCAGCAGCAAGCGAAGTGCAATCCGCCACGTTTGACGTGAACGTCTCGCTGCGATAGCGAGGAACAGGGAAGTGTGGTCTGGAGAGGCTCCTCAGAGGGTCATCAGCAGAGGCTCTGCTGTTTATAAGTGGAACTTGTCTCTTCTTCCCGTTTCCCAGTTGACTCTAGCGCACGGACGTCTCAGTCCAAGTCTTCCCTCGCTTCCCGCGCCTTAATCTACTTTAGTCTTTAAAGATATTCAATTCTTTGAGGCCTTAAATGCAAATGTGTGCACAGAATGATGAACTGTGGCTGCAAAATGGAAGATATTCGATGTTTGTTGTCTGTTTTTACAAGGTATTATTAAAGCAAGCTGGGTGGTTCTCAATGTTGCTTAGCAACATATGAATTCATCTAAAAAGAAAAATTATAAAAAGCACCATGAAATGTCGTGTTAGGTTATGACCTATGAGTGTATCAGAAAAGCTACTTGTGTTAGCAGCTAGCAGGCTAAAGCACAGTCCTCGCTCCAAACAGGAAGACAATAGGAATCTAGGACAGACCACTAGAGACGTACACTGGAGCACGTTGCTGTGGATCCATGGAAGGACCAAAGGGGGGTTTGCTCTCACTTGATGGCAGACGTCGCTTTACCAAATGTTTCTCTCCATGTGCCTTCTGATTGGTTTATTCCACCTGGTTCCACTTCTTCATAGTTTATGATGCTAACCCTTTTGTCATCACCTAGTAACCCCTGTGGTTTTATCCTTATGTTTTTTTTAATCGTTGGCAATGATGTCATAGTGATCACATCCTCCCTGAAGGTGATGTTTAAAAAGTAACCGTTGGTCATCACAACCCTGTAGTTGATGCTCAGACGCTGTTCATTGTTTGTGAAACTCAAAATGTGCCTGATTACTAAGCGCTTTAAGTGTTGCTCTGCATACAAACAGCATGGTCCACATTAGGCCTGTAAACCAGAGCCAATGTTTTTAATATTCAGATATGCTGACCCCCCTCTGTAATTTACTTTGCCTCAAAAGCCTTTAACAGAAAGAGGTCTCGCAAGGAATCACTCAAGTGCACTTACAACGATGTGTCGTGTATGTAAAAGGAATGTCGCTGCAGCCAAAGGTTGATGTCGACGAGATGTAACGCTGTTGTCGGGGGGGGGGGGGGGGAGTGTCCGATCATGTAGTTCCAGGCTGCTTTAGCTTTAGGCGAGGTGTGTCTCAAAGGAACATGTCACCGCTCAGTTCAAAGGAAAACACAAACCGCTCAGCTACCAATGCAGAAAAAGACATTCTTTGTCGCCGCGACGCGTCTCCACTGTTTATTCTCTGTACGCAATGAAAACTACTTGTGAATCAACATGTAAATCTGAATAAAGACTGTTTTGATATTTATTCTGAGGGCTGTGTGCTTTATGACTGCTGACGGGTTATACTGGGCAGAGATCAGAGTCCAGCTTTATGGCTCATGAGACACTCTGACAACTTGCACACCTGTTGAGGAAACAAATGTCCATGTTGAAGACGTATTTCCTTACTGGAATAAAGAACGAGGATATAGCTCAGCCCTCGTTCCACATTAGAAACAAAGCCTCGTGTCTCTAAGGTGTGCAAGTCAGCGTGTGTAATGACGAGAACGTAACGAAGGGTCTGTGTGTTCCGAGTGTGTGGTTTGTCTTCTTGTCAGAGCAGATGTCTCCTCGTTTCACACACGGCTCACTCCGGTTTAACCGAAGCGCTTCTCTGCTGTTTCAGTTTCTGTTGCTGTTCTCGGTTCTCACTCCACTTCCTGTTTGCCTCTGAGGCCTCCAAGGATCGCTCGCCGGTTTCCTTGGCGACTGCTGACCTCATGCAGTTAGTCATAGTAAACAGTCTGTGTTTTATATGGTGTGTGTGTGTGTGTGTATATATATCTGCTGTGTTATGCTCTCCTTCACGAGCTCCTTTGTAACCTCTTTTTTTTTTTTAAAAATCTGCAGTCCTCTGGACCACAAACAGGAAGTCATGTCAGAAAGTCCCTCTGCTTTCTATTCCCTCTGACACAACTTCTTCAAACGTGCTACTTTAAACACAAGTGTTTCTCAGTGGACAATGGCACAGTTGATCCTCTCGTGTTTTTTATCCAGCTCTGCGTTGCACAACGACAATAAACCAACATTGAACCTTGAGTTATCTCGATAGTGAGCTCTGCAAAACCAAGTCCTCTGCTTTCATTTTCAGGGGAAGAAGAAACAACTTAAACACCGTGACAAAATACAATTACTGGACAAACTTATCCACAGATATGATTTAGTCATAATTCCATATTGGATGTAATGGATTAGATTGGTAGGTCAACTGGTCTGCAATCAGAGCAGGAGTCGGCTCTGTGGTGACGTCTCACTCCTGCCATCTAGTGTCCAGACGTTTAAACTGCAGCTTTATTTCTGGTGGATTTGATACTAGAACAAGTGCCTGATGGGTATTTTAACAAATGTTGTGGTAGTGCCAAAAGAGGAACAGTGCCTTTAAATATAAAATCTCTATTTTAATAGAGATTTTATATGCAATAAGAATTATATGCAATAAGGTTATGAAGTCATATATATGAATAGAGTTAACTTTATTGTCCCCGAGGGGAGATTAAGCTTTACATAAACATTTTAAAACCACATGAAAAAATCTTTAGACATTTGACACTGGCAACATGGCATCTTTAAAAAAAAAAAAAAAAGACTCTCTAAGAAGTTATTGAGATGGATGTAACAATGAACATGTATAAAGAAATGTTGTTAAATCTGAGGTTGTTTTTTTGTAAGATTAGTTAAAATGACAGCCAGTAACAACACATGTCGATGGTTTATAAGAGTGGTAGGCCAACTGAGTGACCCGGAAATATAAACGCATTAGCACGACGATAAATAAAACAATGTGTTCCTGCTATTTAACATTATAATATAATTCAATACATTTAAAAAATAAAAATAATACAGAAGTTTAAAGTTTTTTTGTGTTTGGCTTGAGATGCCTTTAACGTGGGGATAGCTCCGCATTTGAGAAGTCAGGTGTCGGTGGTGTGGTGAAAACGACAATGCGCATGCGCGGAGCCTTTGGTAATGAAGGTGGATGACACACCTGCCGCTCGTCACCTTTTTGGCTATTTGCCGAGAACTGTTGTAATTTGCTCGTAATGGCAGAAGGTAGTGTTTATTGTAAGAAAATAAAATAAGATACTAACTGCGGTCACCATAAGTGGATTATCTTCAGCATACATTTGAAAGTCTGCCTCTTGAATGTTAAAGTGAGAGTAAACACTTTAAACCAAACCTGTGGTAAAAAACAATCACATTTAACGTCCGGTGGGTTTCCAGAAGGGAGATAAAAGGCAGACTGCTAGCTTAACAGAGGAGATGCCTTGGTGGTGTTATTGTGAGAGAATTGTCAAACATGAAAACAATACAGTTAAACTGAGCGACCCGAATGAACAGCGCAGCCATAAGGTGCATGGAGAACAGGAGATGGAGTGAAAGCTCCGTAATCAGTCAGATTATCACCAATGTTTTAACTGTAAGGGGGAATGTGAAACACGTGAGACAGATTTGTATGTTTAATTTGTTGTAAGAATATCAATTCATCAAAATCTAGACTGAACACTTTTTCTTTACTTTTCATGAGGAAGTCATTTTATACTGTAATGTGTGTAATATCAAAAACGTCCAGCAGATGTCGCCATCTCACCACTGGCGCCTTGTCTGTGCATCGTATTCAGCGGCCTTGTCAGGACGAGAGAAGAGTGTAATGCAGTAAGCGGGCCCCCTGATTGTCTGTTTGAACTGTATTTCAGGTGTTTTCCCGCCATCACACGCTGACGGGAGGGCAACAAAATGTATCAAAATGTAAACATTTCAGGTTTTGCATTTGTGGTTGTTGCCCGACCATTTACACCTAAAAATGCCACCGCAAACATGTTTAAGTTGACATCTTTTTGTTGGTTATTTTTGATTATTTTGTGAGAAAAAAAAGACAATTAATTAAAAAAGAATCAACATTGCTTTATTATCTTTATGTCAACAAATAGTCTTTCTTGAACGGCAAAAACATTGTCGACCATATTTCAATGCCTGCAGCCTCGGAACAACAATCTACAAAATGACTTTAGCCGAGCGATTAGCTTTCATTTATCAGCCTGTTCTTATTACCAAACTCCATAATGCATCGCTAACGTTAGCTGCAGTGGACGAGGATGGACGGCTCCTGGACAAACAGTAGAAAACTGAGCATTTCTGCACATGAATGTCTCTAAATGTTTTGATAGACTGCTGGTGTTACCTCCCTTACTTGTGAGGGTTTTATTGCTTCTGAGATGACAGTTCTCAGCATCTACTGGAGTCAAATGTAGCCACACTTTGGATCTTTTTCTTCTCTCTGCCATTATGAGGGTCTCACGCTGTACTGAGCTGGAGTCGGTGTGTGTGTGTCAGAGTAAAGAACTCATCCCCTCCTGCAAAGACACAGAGACAGATCTCACTCCGTAACCTCTAAAGTACCGATAGCGGAACCGTTAACTCCGGACCTTAACGATACTCCGGGTATTTACTTCTGTCTTATCGGTTCCCGTTTAGAACCGGGTATCGGGGGGGGGGGCATGACGTGTGCAATGTGTTTTCACTTTTCTCAGCGGCGATGAGCTTCCTGTCCGTTTGTGGCCCTGTGCTTGGCTGAACGTGTGTGTGTTTTAAAGTGTCAGTGTCCTCCCCGTCCTCTAACTTCGCTCGTCTGACTTCAGAGGAAGCGAGGACGGAGGGGAAAGAGTGGGGGGGGGGATACAGTAGGAGAGGTGACCTGAGGTCAGGGCGCTGACAGCCAAGATGTTGAGGACATGAAATGTAATCATTTCTTCAATCCACCTCGCGGTCTGAGATGTGTTACGGCTCAGCCACAGATGGGGAGCACAAGGAGTCTTCCATATCTGCTACATATGCTGGCATGACATAGTGGTCATATTGCACGTCGCACCATATTTTTGAATAATAGTTTTTTCACAGCAGTCCACACAATATGGCCGGATTTGCATTTTTGTTCCATAACGTAGCAAAGGCACAGATGTATACGAACACGCGCGAGGGGGTTGTGTTATGCGTTTAAGAGTCAAGTACTCTGTTTTATTGGGTTTGGTGAGGCCTTAAATGTGCTCAGAGCGCTGCACGACCAACAAATAACAGCGTGTTCCTCTCCAAATTACGGGTACGATGTGCCGCTCCGATATGATGCAGGATAATGGAGAAAACCTCGCATGGTCGAGCAGTTCGAGCAGTAAAATAATTTTGTCGAGATCTCAGAGGTAAGTGGTGCAGTGCACCTCTCACTTTTCTGTCAAACAGGGATCTTCGTAGCTTTTGTAGTGTGTGTACCTCTTTTTCTAAAGAAGCACTGAGACATTCAGTGTGCCGGCTGCTGGACGTTCAAAACATTCAGACCTTAGCTCAAAGTGCCGTGTGCTTTTCTTTCCAGGCTCGTAACGGCAGGCCAAGTTCTCTTCAAAAGTAGGAGGAAAGGAAGACATATCTTATGAAACCTGATAATCTCATTGCATTGTGACAAACAGTAGTCATGGCCAGAGTAATAGTTAGGCAAAAAAATCAGCTGTTGTGCCCCTGTAGACACCAAGTTCCTGTTATGTACAGTGCACCAAGAAGACTTAACATAGCAGCTCTGTTATATGCTTAAAGACCCAGAGATCCACCAGTACCAACTAGTCCTACACATTCAACAACAAAAAAAAACTATTTTTGTAACTGCTCTTTGCGGTCATTGTTAAAAAAAAGTCACCTGACTTCCTCCTTTTCTCTCGCCACCAGCAGCACTCCTCTAAGTGTCATCGTGCTGAAAGAATAATATTCATGATCTGTGCAACAAATCGTCAGATACCGACGCTTGGTCAGTGGTTCTATAAACTTCACACATGATGCTCTAGGTTCCTCTCTGGCGTCAGTTTTGGATGTGTCGGACGGCTCGTTACCTGCACAGGGTCTTTTCAAAATAAACTTCCATGTTCACAGGAAAAGCACAGTTTAACCTTGTTACATACATAGTCTTTTCAGAATAAACTGTGTTCACAGGAAACACAGTTGTATGCTCAGAACATGCACAGTCTTTTTAAAATAAAGTTGTATTCAGAGGAAACAAACAGTTTCCGCTTGTTACATGCACAGGCTTTTCAAATTAAACTTCTGTGTTCACAGGAAATGCACAACTTCTGCTCGATACATGCATATAGTCTCTTTTCAAAATAAACATGTGTTGACAGGAAACGCAGTCTCGGCTCATTACAGTCTTTTCAAAATGAGCATACATTTTCAAAATAAACATCTGTTTGCAGGAAACGTATAGTTTCTACTCGTTACATTCACTGAGTCTTTTCAAAATAAAGTTCTGTGTTCACAGGAAAATTTACAGTTTCCGCTTGTTACATGGACAGTTTCTTTTCAATATGAACTTCTAATGTAGGCATACCTCATTTTTCGGTTTACTTGTGCAAAAAAATAAGTTTGTTTCTGACGTAATCTAAGTAGCATATGTTTGTTACGTAACTGACATTAGTTAAGACTCTCTCACTCTGTATACCACATCAGTTGCTCTGACTGTCTCACACTGACGCTGATGGCTTTACATTGGAGTAAGTTGAAAACCTGGTGCGTCTCATACAGACACTAAGGGGTGCACTGACCAAATGTTGGTATTTGAAGGCATTTCTGAAGATTAATTGTGTTCAATAAAGAAAATCAACAGGAATGACTGAGAAAGTTAATAGACAAGTGAAACAAAGTTGACAAAGATGAGATACAGAATTATAAACCAGTAGACATTGTGATGGCATGAGAGGGAGTGTCATCAATGGGAGATACATCCCCTCCCAGTGGTTGCAGCAGAGACTACAACCCATCATGCCATCTGGTTAACTGACTACAATTCCCATAGTCAGCAGGGCTGCCGGGGCCAAGGCTGCTGCCCAGCTGAAAGAGAGGTGGCTTGTCGTCTTCCTTTGTGCACCCACGCCTCACAAGCCGATCTCGACCTCTCCAGACATTACAACATGTAACAACCCTAGCTCATGAAGGAGGAAACATAGTTAATAGTTATTAAGTAAATTCAATAAACAGAACAAAAAAGAAACACGTGGTGTTAGAA